GGAGAAATGGTGGTGGAAAACCCTTTGTCCAGGGTGGGACACACACACACACATATATATATATACACATACACACGCCGTATAGATCCCCCCAGCTAGAAACTCAATGACATTTGCTGATTCTGGATTAGTCAAGCTTTGAAGAATTCCATGCTTATGTTGACACGCAGCATGACATTTGAGTCATTCACATTCTTTAGGCAAGATGGCCGGTGCTCGGTTGTTACCATCTCATCAGCACTGATTGAGTTCTTCTCACGATTGTTCAGCGGCGGCCAAAGTGTAATTTTTGCATTGCACACGAACTGCAGGTGCTTCTTCCCCATCACAGGGTGATGAGGATGTCGCAATTCTGACCGAGGACCGAGCTTGTCACGTTCTCGCTTAAATCATCTTGGCAAGGTACACCCCGGATCACCCCGGGTTGTGGTCTTTTCGCTTCAATGATGCAAGGAATTGAGTGCTGCCGTGGAGGAGGTAGGCTCTGGTCTTTAATCTTCCTCGAGCACATTGAAATTCCATGGCTGTTTAATTCTGCGTTATTCTGTGTTCCAGTTACAAGATTAAAGTACTGAATGCGCCCTGCTGAATCCGCAGCCGCAAAGACCTGTGAGTGACTGTGAACGCATCTCGCGTATGCTGCCACTGTAGCCCCACTTGCTGAGCTGCATGCTGACTGCTTCCAGCAGAATCTATGCATTTACCCTTCTGAGACACCTTATTAGATACTGTAGATCTTATATATTAGGGATATGCTACTGGACACCTAGTTTGCCTTTTCCAAATCGGGTGTTGGGTTCCCTTGTTTTCGGTAGGTAGACTTGGGTTGACCTCAATAAACGGATGGCAGCGCTCAAGATTCTAAATGGCATGCGGTTGATCAACAACATTGTGAAGCAGATGTATGCAACAAAGGCCCTGAACTGAAAGCGATTGGTGACTTGCATTTTCAGCCATCCAGTGCTGATGCTGATGTGCGGCTATGGGCTCTGGCCCATCCACTGCAGTCTCGGTCTCGGCCTTCGCAGAAGCTAGGTTGCGTGCATGATTTGCCGGCAACACTCAGTTGTCCTGAGCTTGTGTGTCGTTTGTCAATGGAACGATTTGATTTAGAGTACTGCATGAAGAAGCCAAACCAGCATCATGCACTCCATTTTGCACGTGCAAGCACGCAGCACGAATGCAGCATATTTTGCACCTTTTGAAGGAAAAGTCTCAGCGCCGCTTTGGAGAGCTCTCGGACTTTGCGGATTCTGACCTCCCGGAGCGGCTGGCGCAGGACGGGCGCTTGCTGGCAGCCTGGCCAACAGCACAAAGGGAACGCAGAAGCGAAGCCAGCGATGCCATATGCCACAGGCCACAGCTGCAATAGCTATACATACCAGAATCTATATACCAAGACGTGGTGAGAAAGGAAAGAGTAGTCCTATGTAATGTTGTCATCAGAAAGCGCAATGCGTCGCCCAGGCAGACTTTGCATTGTTCCTGCACGAGGGGCACCGGCATGAGGCAGAATCTTGAGAACTGTAACAAGAAAATTTCCCTGCAACTGCAAAAGGAGAGCTTTTCATGATTCATAACCAACCTGTATTTGCTATATGCGATCACCCGTTCTTTGAAGGGTTTGATCGGTTTGGACGCTAGAGAGATGCGGACACAGCAGGAACTCCTTGACCTATGGGCTCTTGACTTGGCGTGCGCTGGAAACTGGAGCGAAAGTGAGGAGGCCACCTTGCTTGCAGTATTTTTGCCAGAAGCTGTAGGCCCTTTGACCCCAGCATGGAATAGGTTTAGAGACTCAACCTTGAGAACACCAGGACAACTCAAGACAACCAACCGCTTCCCTCTTTCGGTTTTGTAAGGCACCTGCCTGCATCAGCTTTGGAGACAGGCGTTTCTTTGCTGCAAGAAAGGCTAAGATGTTCAATTCACACAGCAGGTAATACTTTGGGCGTACTTCAGCTTCTAAGGCAACACAATTAGGGTGCCTTGATTGCAGCAAGTCACAACAAATTTGCTCAAATAGATTTTGGATTAAATTTGCGTATTCTTCAAACTGTTTTGAAAAGGTTTTTGAACATTTCTTTTTAGTATACATAAACATAGTGGAAGGTAGGACTAGGACGGAAGTATATAAAGAAATCACATCCCGAAAAAAAAAAAAAAAAACAATACACACATCCATGTTCAACAGATTATATATGGAGTTGGTTTGAAGCAGTCTCAAACTCACGTCCAAAATAACTTGACTTGGCAAATTGGGTTTTGTGAATGCATGGTGTGTCTAGAGTTGATTCGAATCTTCGTGTCCAATCCATTGTCTCAGGCCTTGGCATATTTTGTCTGCAGTAAGCAACGCTAGGGTTTCTGCATTCTGCCCTGGTGATCCACAGTTGGATCGGTTCGGGTAGATACAGAGGGTGGTTCAAGGTGATATTCGTTGTGAATTGTTGGGAGGAAAGCACCAGGCAACGTCAAGAAAGGGATATAAAGAGGGACTTGCTGTGTTTGACATCGCCAACCAGATCGAACCGGGGGTTATAAGTTGCAGTGGTACGTGCTAGGATTGCTGCTGCAAGCTTGTCGAAAACTTGGAAAGGGCATGGGAGGAGCGAAGAAAAGCAACGCGATCGACGTGCTGTTCCAAGTGTATGCTGTATGCTGTATACGCTGCCTACTTACTACAGAACATAACAAGACTGGTGGCATTTGCTAGTCACCTGCCCAAGTCTTTTTTTCTCGCATGGGTCTCTGTCACCAGGAGTACCAAGCTTCACCTGAAGGCTTGGGAAACTTTGACGACACACGGGAGTGGATGCCGCAACTCATCATCATTGGAACTACCCCAAAAATTAGAGACAACATTCTTGCACCAAGGCATGACTTTCCCGATGATGCCATTCTACAGAAGATCAACAGTTTGGCACCTACTTGTGTGTGCAAGCATACAGCAGAAGATCTCAAAGTGTGTACACTTCCTGCGAGGTGATGACCCTCAATCAGTCAGCAAAGACCATGCCAACTATGTTGCTAAGCTTGAAGTTGGTCGTCTCAGCCGAAATCAAAATCGGGCGACATGTTTTTGCTTTTCATCGCTTCAGGCTTTCTCCATAGCTGCAATGGTGGGCATCCACGTTAGTGTGGCACCTTCGGCCTGTTCGTGCTCTTTGGGCCAAGTGATGTAGAGAACACCATCCCCTTACCCTTTTTGCATAATCCTTTTCTACTGATAGGCCTCTTAGAATGTGTGGTTGAGCCATTGCATTCCTTTTTATCAAGGACCTGGCTCAGGCGCAAGTGAGGGGGACAGCTAGTTTGCACGTTGTTTTACTCAGCCCACAATTGCAAATGCCTTAAAATGCGCCAGGTGTGTTCAGACCTCGTCTCAGCATGGGCAAGTGAAGCAGCTGGCATCACTGAGGGCTGCACAGATGCCTTTCACAGACGCGTGCCCAAGCGGCTTGGCAGTTCATCTAATCACGTCGTGCATTTTTTGAACTAAGTTGACAGACAGCCAGAACCTAGAACGAATTCATTGATACACCGCACCCATATCTATATCTCCAGAATGCGAGTCCCTGGAAGTACAGTGTTGCGGCATTTTTCAAGAAAAATTACTTAATGCACCTCAGCACCTGCAAGTGCACCAGCTATATACGAACTTATATTCTATGTTTTTCACTTTTGGTGAAGAATTCAGACACGTCAGATGATCAGATGCAACATCAAACATGCTGAAAAGGTGCACTTCTACCTCCGCACTCCAGATATGTTCCTTTTTTCCTTCCTCTCTCTCTGTCTCTATGTGAATGTTGTTTGCATATTTCCGTTTATGGGCCATTCACATGATTCTGTTCATGATTTACGGTAGTGATTGTCAGTGTTCCCACCTTGCACAGTCCAAGGCTTGATCTTCAGAGCTGCTTGCAGGAGCAGATTCGTGTGTTCCCCGTGCCGCCAAACGGCTCCGCTTACAGCCCTCAGACCTGTGAGCTCCTTGGAATCCTTGCATCTCAGAGTGTTCCAGGTTCAGCCTGTGCAGCCTATGCCTAGGTCTTGACAAGACCTTCCACATGGAAGAGTTTGCTCCCAGGCTTTTTGCTCAAGTTCGCAGCCGCACAGCTAGATTGGTTGAACTCAATCACTGGCTTTTAGAAGTTTAATCAGACTCAACTGACTCAACCCATTCATTCTGCACCATGCCTACCGATGCCGTAGAAGTCTTAGCCCAACCCATGCATTGAGCTCATGATTTAGCCAAGGACTCACTGGTGTCTCTAGTGAGTCGTACTTTGAGTCGGTCTGCAGAACAGATTTCCAATTCATCGCGCACCACGGCGTGCAAGAAGTTGGCTAGGCTGCTAGACCAAGCTTTCCGTTTCATGCTTGGCTTAAGATAACGTTCAAACTGTGCTGCTATGTCATTTTCAAGGTTCGGCACAAACTCCAAGAGCGGTGAGCTTTTTTTCTTCACCTATGATCAGAAGCAGCTTGGCTGTAGAGGGGTGAGACTACACAGATGCGGCCAGCAAACTCAGGTATTTGATTAAGACCACCTCCGAGCTGGAGGCGGGCTTTACTGAACCCTTGAACGTAGAAGCAAGAGGCCTTGCAGGTTTTTAGGAACGTAGCTCTTTCAGCTCGGGGAAGGCAAAGACCCTCCTCCGAATGCTGCCGCGCTATTTGGAAAGGCCATGGGCAGCAAAGGCATTGAATTTGTTCACTCATGTGCCAGCAGCACCAAGGCTGGAAGAAGAACCTCGCTCAATGCTGGGAAGATACATGGGACTCTATCGAGCTTCTTCACTCAAGTGAAGTTATATACGGTAAGTAGATACAAACGGATGCGCGTGTTGTGAGGATTCTCCATTAACTGATTTGCCATGATTTGCCTGTGCATCTTGCAAGCGGCGTCGCTGGACAAAATGCATCATCAGGTTAGCATGGAGGGCGAGCAGTCCAGATTGTTCTTCGTCATGCGATCTGTGACAACGTGACTCGGTTTGTTTTCACACCGTTGAAAAGCACTCCGTAGCAAAATCTTGGTGTCCAGACTTGTGCCTACCACCCTGGCGCATTTTGCAAGGCATGAACTGGGCATTTGCCATACGCATCTTGGTTGAACTCAGCTATCATCACTTCGCTGAAAACAATTGGTGCTCGTGTCTCACAAGTCCTGCTAGTAACGCTTTGAGACGCGCAGCGGGGCTACACGTAACCTACCTGAGGTATGACATCAAAGGCAGCTTTCGAAACCGGAAGGCCAAGCAACATGAAGCGGTTGGGAAAGATCTGAACTTCGACGAGGAGATGTGAGCCACAGAGAATTACATAGCTAATATACCGATGTGTCCTGTGCAGTGCAGCCGGTTGTCTCATTTGCCGTAATTGAGCTGCTGCACCATCCGTTCCACCTGCGCGTTCCGCCCCTGGAAATAGTTTGGTAGAGGAGATGGGCAGCTCCCTCAACTTGCCGCCTGATATAGCCGCAGAGGTGTGACATGGAGTGGGCTATACAGTAGGACTTTTTCCTCTGTGTGATCAGCTCTGCACAGACCGTCTTTGTCATGTTCAGGTTGCTGAGGTCCACGAAGGAGACCTGGAGCTTCTGCAGGATGGGCTTAGCGAACACTTGAAGCCAGCTTTTAAGGTCCAACAGTTTTCTCAGAAACCATCAGAACCCGCAACAACGTAGTGGAGCAAGGAAGCTCTCCCCTTGAAGAACACAAGCCAGCTGGTCAGCTTCAGCTACTAGGTCTACAGCTTAAGAAAGACCAAAAGAAAAGGCACAGAAAAGAGAAAGAATCGAAGAGACAAGACAGCCAGGAGTTCAGAATAATGGACTTCTCCTTGTTGGTGCAGAAGCTTGGCTGGATCGCTTGTTGAGTTTTGTCTGTCCTTGTTTGCCACACAGTTATCTCCAGAGCCACAAGGATTCACGACACCTCTGGCACTTTTGGAAGCGCCGTCACCCAACAGTGCAGCGTCACTTGCCTGAACTGCGGCTACTTGATTCAGTGTGGTAATTATATATATATATCTACATGTGTACATTACATATATATATATATGGATTTGCTTGACTAGGTAGCCAGTTGCCCCCCAAACCACAATTATTGATGCAAAGTGTGGCAGCAGCAAGTTCAACACGGCCATCATGGCGGATTGATGTCATGGCAGTTCCTTCTTGTCCAGGTCAGGCTGGACAAGAAGGCGAAGCGTAGGTGGCGAGACTCGCTGCCTTTGCTGAACCTTCGCAGCAGCAGAAGAAAGCACTCAAGACGACAGCGCCAGAGTTGCAACAAGAAAGTCAAATCGTGTGTTGATCCTGGATCGAGCAAACTTGTCATCTCCATGTTTCAAGACATGGGCCTATGGCATATTCGATTGCATACGATTACAAGAGCATGCACAACGCATGCAAGAACTCTCTCGGTACTTTTCGCCGAGGAGATCACGCGAAATGTCGAATTCAAATGGGAGTCGTCGTCTCGATGGGCACCAGGCCACAGAAGAGTTGTTTGTATTCTTTTGCAATCAGCTGCAAATATCAGTCAGGTGCAGGTGCGTGCTGGGACCACTGCAGGAGCTTGGACACGCCAAGGCAGGTGTTTGAATGCTGACCGCCAGGCAACCTAAACTCCACCACTTGGAGGCTAAGGATGCTGTTACAATTGCTTCTAGTAACAAGTGCCTTACTAGTAGGAACAATAAGAATGTAATTGGAATTGTAATTACTAGCAAAGGAATCTACTCCACCACTTGGAGGCTAAGGATGTTACAATGCCAAAAAGATAGCCTAAGAGCGTAAGGTTGATGGACTGAGGTTACCTACATGCATCGTGTGTCAGTGTAAGTCAATGCCATTCCATTCTTTGTGCTGCTTTTGTTGGGAGCGTGGCTGAGCCAGGTACCTTGTCACAGCTTCCAGAGAGCCCTACCAGTCCACTGCGACCAAAGTGGGTCCCGCACGACGGTAGTCTTGTACGCCTTGATGGAACTATGAAGCCTGAAACCTAGGAGCGAAGCATTTGTCAAACCTTGGTACAAGACAAGAGTACTAGCAAGCATTTGACATGCACTCTTTTTTTGAGCTGATGCGTCACTCTGAGGTACACCATGGGGCTGATAGATATGTTGGTCCCGTTCACTGCGCAGCTCGTCCAACATTCTGTGTGACGTGGTGACAGCACTGAGAGAATCCGACTGGCTGGACAGGTATCCAAAGATGCAATATGTTGGCATGGAGGTCATCACATGTGGCCGTGGAACAGAAAGCAGCCGTGTGCCACCTGACTTCTATTGCAACTTTGGCTTCAATTTTGGCTTGGATCTAGCGAATCATCATGAGCTCTCCTTGTGGCTATTTGCATCGCACTGTGCTTGATCCAGGTGAGAGGCAGATTGAGAAGGTCCATGCGATGTGCGACCAGGAGATATAACATGATAAAACCAGATAGAGAGAGAGAGAGAGAGAGAGCGCGAGCGAGGGAGGGAGGGAGGGAGGGAGGGAGGTGTCAAGATACAAGTTCCTTTACAATAGCATACTTGCTCTGTCGTAGTGTTCATGTACAATTGACCGGTGCTATACAATGCACCTTGGATCGAGGCCTTGAGCCTAAGGACAGTTGCCGGAGGAAAACAATACAGATACGTGCACAAACAAACGACAAACAAACAGCTGCTGAATTTCACATGGTAGCGGAGCAAGGATCCTGGTAACAACAATCCAGGTGAGCTCCAACACAACAACAGGAACAAACACAGACAACAGAGGACAAGCCTTGACCCTACAACAGGTAGCTTGTATAGCTGCAACAATGGCAGCTCCAGCAGCAGCTCCAAATGGAGGAGACCACCTGCCTCCAGTTCCAGAAGACGAGACAATCACACACATGGCAAACATGAACAGATACAAACTCAAACCACCCTTCTTCAATGGAGACTATGGCACGTTCGAAGAATGGAAGTACAAGTTCACAGCATACATGGGATTGCAAGACAACGACTACACAGATTTGCTGCAAGCAGCGGAACAAGCCACAGCAGAACTCACTGAACTACAATTACGAGCAGCGGCATCAACAATCGAAGATGGTGAACGGCATGTTCGCCTCAGCACCGACTTGAGGTACATCCTCATCAACACAACAACAGGAGCAGCAGCGACAGTCTGCAGACAACACCAACACACAATCGGCTTCGAGATGTACCGACAATTGTGCATCCGCTTCTCCATCCCATTAGGGACAAGATCCATAGGACACCTGACAAGATTGTTGAAACCAACATTTGACAAGAACAACTTCGAAGAATCATTTTCCACATGGGAATTTGAGCTAGAACGATTCGAGCGAGACAATGGACAAACACTCCCAGACTCCGTGAAGATCGCCGTGTTGCTCAACGAGACAAGTGGACCACTACAACAACACCTACAACTGCTTTCAGGACAAGGCCCAAACTACGCACGAGTCAAACAAACAATCATCGAGTACTACAGGTCGACAACAGCATTCAGCAAACTACAACATCTACGATCACAATCGTCCAGCGTGGCGACAAGCTTCGGTGGAGGACAAGCGCCTATGGACATCGATGCAATCCATAAAGGAAAAGGCAAATACAACAGTTACAAAGGAAAAGGCAAAGGAAAAGGAAAGAACCAAGGCAAAGGCTACGGAGGATACAACGGCTACGGATACAACAATTACAACACCAATTACAAAGGAAAAGGAAAGTATGGAGGAAAAGGATTCAACAACTACAACAACAGTCCGATTGGCTTCGGCAATCCATTCGGAAGAAGCAACAAAGGAAACAAAGGATTCAGCAAAGGATACAACAAGGGTAAAGGAAAGAACAAAGGAAAGCAAGCGACAGACACATGCTACAGATGCGGACGAACAGGACACTATGCCAAAGACTGCCGAGTGGCAATACACAACATTGGACAAGGAGAAAGCAATGACATTGAAGACGCGACAGCACAATGGTACCACGACTACTATGACAATGGATGGTACTGTCAAGACTACACGAGACAACAACAAGGACAACAGCCATTGGCACTTCCGCCAATTCCATCCACCAGCAACCACGATATGACACCAATCCATGTCATCGCCATGATCAGCAATGGCAATGACCACAAGACAGACACCACAAACAGCGGTACAACAGACACTATGCACATCATGATCGACAGTGGAGCAGCCACACATGTATGCCCACTATGGTTTGCAGACAACTATCCAGTGTACAAGATCGACCAAGCACAAAGCCCAAACCTCAGGACAGTGACAAACAAGACAATACAACGCTATGGAGTAAGATGGGTCTACATGCAATCAAGAGGACAACCAATTGTCATACCCTTCTACGTGTGTGACATTCATGACCCAATCCTGTCAGTGACAAGACTGGCAGAACAAGGCTTTGACATCAGGTTCAACGACACTCCAACAATGCGCCATGACAAGGGATTCAATGTTCCCTTGGTGCAGCAGCACAACCTCTACTACTTGCCAGCGACAGTCATGAACCTGGGACAACATCAACAAGTAAAGGTGAGACATACACAAAACGGTATGATTGCAATGATTGCCCCAACGACACTGACAAGACATGGACCACAACAAGTCCTTGGAGGCAACAGCGGCTATTGGAACTACAACAACGAAGGATACCTTGTACGGTATCACCGGAACAAGAGGAAAGCTCTCTTTGTTCCTGGCGACAATTGCCCAGTACCACTGGAGACATTGAGCAACTACAGACGAACAATCATTCGACGAACAGACGGGAACAACGAAGACATTGTTGAACAATACCATGACTTGAGCAAGCGCGAACAACGACGAGTGATACAAGGAGACACATGGACAGGAGAAACATGGTTCAGAGTGAACAAGCCACCAGCACAACCGGCAACTACAACGGCGAAGACAACAGAGCAGACAGAGATAGCGCCACAGGCGCAACTAGCACGACGCCAATCCACAACACTACGGCTCCCGGAACAAGACGGGGCAACACAGCAGGTAAGCAGAGAGCCACTGTACAGACACACAACGAAGAAGCCAGCACCAACAACCATGGCAGTACCTGATCCATCCACAATGACACCAACAACAGACTATTGGATCAGAGAAGGACACTATTGGAAACGAGTTCACGTACAGGTACGGACGACAATGTACGTACCACAACAAAAAGACGATGGTCCAGACATTGGACGACTCAAACCGACACGGACAACATTCGTGAACAGAACGGAACAAGGAAGAGGATACACAATCCATGACAACTGGCGCGAATCAGGAGCAAGACAGCTTGACAGAATGGACTGGATCATTCGAGGAAGAAGCGACGTACAAATACGAGTACGACACGGACAATGAAGATGAATCTCAACAAGCACAACGCGCCAAAGGAATGAAGGCGCCGCAACAACCAACAAGACAAGAAAGACTAGAACATGAACTGACACATTTACCATACCGCTCATGGTGCCCAATATGTGTCAAGAGCAAAGGAAGAACAGACAATCATCCAAAACAAGCAAGCAAACAACCAGTGATACAAGTGGACTTCACCTACATGAAAGCGTTTGGAGACACACAAGTACTACCAGTACTGACAGCAATAGATGTCGAATCAGGCATGGCAATGGCAGTTCTTGTACAAGACAAGAACCAACGACAACAATACCTCACACGATGTCACGAAAGCTAGCATCAGCTAGCTGGAGTTGCTCTTGCTTTAGCAAGTCAAGGGCTCGCAGCCTCGAGAATCATGAATCACGTGAAAACTTCACGTGTAGGGCCCGCCCGCGGGTTCAACTCCCCCCTGGGACGCTTCCGGTACGTGCTATAGTGCTATGTTTAGGTGGCAGGTGAAGTAGGCCACTGTTTGAGTTTGGAAGGGGGGGCATGAAACATGAAATTTACGCGAGGGTTCAAGGCTTCAATGATGAGCATCGCGGGAAGTCAGAAACCAGGCGTATCAGATACACGTGCCTTGAGCTTCCTTCGGCATCTCAGTGCATATGGCTGACACTTCACTCGACAAAGATGCTCAAACAAACATACATAAGCCAGGTGTATCTGATACGCCTGGTTTGTGACTTCCCGTGATGCTCATGATGCTGCGTTGCTTTTCTTCAGTCCCTCATTACATATACATGACGATCCAACAGCAGATTCAACAAGCTCACATGTTCATGACATCGACATCGATAGAAGAAACCAAACAAATCATGCAAGCAGCTTTGTTTTGCCTCTGGGACACCTCTTGGGCACCTCTTATGGCATCCACACTGGTTCAACTCCTCCGTGGAGGTTTTGGGATACGGTGCAACAGGTTCAACAAGCTCACAGGTTCGTGAACACATCGGATGCGTCGAACAGTGTGGCAAAGTCCAGCCACGCTTCCTTAATTATCGGGGACTTCAATTCTAAGGTTGGCTGTGTCATTGCTGTTTGTGTGTCTTACATGTTCACAACGTTTTACCTCATGGGCATTTGCCTCACTCCGCTTGATGTCCCACCAGTCCGGATGCACCCCTGCTAGCTTTCGTCACCTACCCTCGGCCTCAAGTTCTCATGGTTTCAGAGATGGCATGATGGCACACCAATGCTTCCTTCCCTTCAAAGGGACTCGACCACTCTTTTCCCTCCTTTCAGGCACCACGCGATGTTTGGAGATCCGCTTCCTCTCAGCCCGCCCACCGCGCCTTCTTCCGCCGAGGACTTGGACAACGACGAGGAGAACTATCGCGACGACTTGCGCGGCGTCTCACCACCGCCCTTTGGCCCCTCCGTGGTCATCCAAAGGCGGGGACCGTGGTCCGACACGTTCGGTGGTTTGGATCGATCTGAGACCAAAAGAAGGCTCCTGGGCATCGCTACGAAACGGGGCTCCTGACTGTACTACTAGTAACAAGACGCTAGTAACTAGTAGAAAAGAATTCGATTGAATTAGCATAGATGGCGCCAGGTATAGCTAGCTCTAGCTCCTAGCTCACGCGGCAATTTGGAGAACACCCAACTTCGCAGCACAACCCGGATTTGCTCAGGATGTGTTTAAATGATCAATCCCATGCTACGCAACCAGATAGTTGGATGTAGCTTTCTGAACCCCTGCACCAACACCCTGAGGGAGGGCGAACCTCATCTTCACTCCAATCCTGGACTAGGTGATGGTTTCGGATATTTTGATTTTCAACCCTTACTTGGGGATGATTGGACCCTCTGACTAATATTTTTCAATTGGGTTGAAAACACCAACCAGTGGAGTGTGTGGCTTGCTCCAGGGTCCAAGGGTCCACCCCTGTAGCCCCCCACCGCGTGTCGTACGCGAACCTACTGACCCTCGAGGCCTGTTCAGTCGGTCAGAGGAAAGAAGCTGGAGACGGCTGAGGAGACTGAGCAAC